TTGATTCCACGAAAGTCTAAAATGGGTCGAAGACCCCACTTTGCCTTGGGGATTAGAAAGTAACAGGAGTAAAACCCCTTTCCCCTTAGCTCCTGTGGAACCTCCTCCACTGCACCTATCTTGAGGAGCGAACGAACCTCCTGCATGAAGAGTTGCTCGTGAGAGGGGTCCCTGAAGAGGGACAGGAAGGTAGGTGGGAGGGAGGGAGAGAGGGAGGGAAGGAAGGAAGGAGAACTGGAGAGAGTATCCCACCTGTACCATGAGTAGGACCCAGCGGTCCAATGTTCTATGGGACCATGCATGGTATAAGTGGGATAGCCGATTTAAAAACCGTGGGGATGGATCCGTGAACTGGGTTGGTACACTGTCCATGGTCGTGCCTTCAAAACCCTTGCTTGTTTCCAGGCTGGGGTTTATTCTGGCCTTGGTTAGGCACATTGTTCTGTCTATGCCAGTTATTTCTGCCCCGCCTGCGATACGGCTCCTGCGTGAGTGACCGGAGATGGCCTCAGAGCCGGAGGATGCCGACAGAGAGGACCAGGGCAGTGCCGAACGTTGAGTGGCCGCAGGGTGCTGGGGAGCGGTGCCTGGCTGGCCAGGACCACGAACAGTACCGGGAGTCTGGGGACGGGAACCGGTGTCTTGTACTCTGTGCCGGTGAGGTTGTCGGTGCCGTACATCAGTGCCGGGCGACCGATGGCGTCATGGACTGGGGTGCAGTCACCGTGGGCGCTGCTGGCAGGTTCGCCTCCGGTGCCATAACCTCACGCTGGGTCGTGGGTGCCGGGGAATAGCAGGACGCCAAGCTCGAACGGGAGCGGTGTTGAGACAGTGACCTCAAGCGACACCATTGCCGGCTTCCCTCTGGACAGCACCCTTTTGGGTGGTGCTAGAGGCTTCTCCCTGCATGGGAGGGGGTTTGGCGCTGACAACTCAATGAGGTCTTTCGCTGGCTCGAAAGTGTCGGGCGTGGAGGGGTGTTCGAGGACCCTCCTCCAGACATTCGTCAGCACTGAATCCGCTGGGTACTGTGGCGCCGGAGTCGATGGTGCCAGTTCTTGGCTTGGGCCCGCAATCTGTCTTTGCGTGCCGGGAGCTTCTTTGAGCGGCTTAGTAGCTCTCTGGGGGGAGCGCCCTCTTTCCCCTTTCTTGTGATGCTTAGTCGGTGCCAGAGAGGTTAGTCGTCCCGTCTTGGTGCCGGCGATTTACAGTGCCTGGGCGGTGCCGGGTCGCGCACGGATGCCGGGGCACTTTGCACCGAAGAAGCAGGGGCCGGGGCCGGTCGGTCAGGGGCCGGTGGTTGTAACACGGCCTCCATGAGCAACTGCTTAAGGCGAAAGTCTCTTTCTTTCTTAGTGCACGGCTTGAAGGCCTTGCAGATTTTACAATGCTCGGCCTGATGGGACTCTCCCAGACTCCGGAGACAGGAGTCGTGGGGGTCGCTGTTAGGCACAAACTTCCCGCAAGCTTTGAAACCCTTGGTTTGCGGCATGCCCCGGTAGCCCAAGGCTGGTGCTGGAACTAGCTTCCGGACACCTGAATACAATGGTATTTAGCTAACCGATAACTATCTAAGAACAACTAACTAGAAGACTTGAAGGCTAAGGGATCACTCGCAAGCGAGAGAGAGAACGTTCCAGCGCCGTCACGGATGGTAAGAAGAACCGAGGGGAGTCGGGCCGGCAGGGTAATATATACACCGCCATAAGGGCGCCACTCCAGGGGGCTCCCCTGCCATCCCGACGGAAGCTGCTAAGGGAAAAGTTTCCGACATCCCGTGCACGCAGCGCGCGCCCACCTAATTGGAATGGATGTGAACAATCACTTGAAGAAGAATTGACAATTAGTCACATTTTCCCCATTTAAGTCCATCCTACAGTGCCCAGCCAGCCAGCCAGGCACCCGGGCTCAAACCAGAGCACTCATACGAGCGTGTGTTGATGCTGTCAGCGCCCGTGTTAACTTTACTCTGCCCACAAGCTCAGGGCGGGATCCTGCCCAGCCTGGTCTCTGCGGCTGCTCCGCGCCCCCCTGCCAGCCGCGTGAGACACACACTCAGGCCCTTGTGCTCTCTCAGCACCCCAGCACACAGTGAGGACGGCAGCCGGCTGGCACTTACCTTGAGCCCTTGCCAAGGGAGGCTGCCCCGCAGGAAGTACATGAACATGTGCCCTAGCGCTTCCAGGTCATCCCTGCGGCTTTGCTCTGGGCAGGAGAGAGAAACGGTAAGTGCCACGTGCAGATTCCTCGGAGGGCAGAGCTGCCCCGCACCCTGCCCCCAGCACCACCACCCCTTCGCACCCTATGGCAGCTCCATCAGTGCAAGAATCCCAGGGCAGCTCACGAGAGGGAGCGAGCCCAGACTTGCTGAGCTGCTCAGACGAAGCAAAGCTGAACAAAGGGCCTTTCGAGCACCACATAACCCCTTAGTATCACTGCATCTGGGCTCCCAGGGGGGCCAAGGGCTGGTACAGAATGAGACCAGACTCTGGGGAGCTCGCTCCACCAGGACCAGGAGAAAGGCGCTAGAGGCAGCCGGTCTGGGGTGCATGGCATTAGCGGCTGGGTTTCACCAGGGTGAATGAAGTGAGCGACAGCAGGCTGAGCGTCTCATGGGCTCTCCTGCCCTGGCCCTGAGGAGGCTGACACGCCATGTGGACTTACACAGAGACACCCCCTGTCCTGCCCACGGCAGTGCTGATCTCCGCTGCGGCAGGGCCCAGCAGCCGGCAGCGCATTAGCTCACTGGTAGTCGGGCGCTAGTGCTCCCTAGCATCGTGCTCCAAGCGCACTCGGCTGCAGACCTAGCTACCCCCAGCCCATGACACCTCGCTGTCAGAAACCAACGCCCCCCTAGCTGCAGGCATCTCTCTCGCAGGTGCCCTTTACCCAGAGCAATATGGGGGACAAGAACGTTCCTGGGGCAGACGCCGGTCAAGACGAGACCCCAGTGGAGCAGAACAGGTTCCCCCCACAGACCTGCCTCACCTCCAGTTGCCTATCAGCACAGAGCCAGGGAAACACGGGCCTGGGGCAGTGCAGGACCCACTGGCTTATCTACCCCCCGTCTCCCTCTCCCTCGGGCAGTGCCAGCGACGGCCAGGCACGGTACCTTTCCCAAGGTGCGTGTTGATGCTCATGTATCGCGCTGTCCCCGTCAGGCTCTTGTGCTCTCGGTAGGGGATGTGTTTTTTGGTCTCGGGGTCAATGTACTCTTTGGCCAGGCCAAAGTCAATGATGTGGATGGTGTGCTGACGCTTGCTGCCCGGCCGCCCCACCAGGAAGTTCTCCGGCTTGACGTCTCTGTAGATCAGGCTTTTGGTGTGAACGTACTCCATCCGCGTGATCTGGGGGGGGAGGGGCTGGCATCAGCAGGAGGCCGCGGGCGGGCTTGCTCTGCTGGCATGGACAATGCCCAACCTTTCACTCCGGACTCCTGGCTCCATTCTGTTCTCGCCTCATCTCAAATCGAGGTAACTCCGCTAAAGCCAGCGGCCACTCTGCTTGGCTCTCAGAGCCAGGCCCGTTGGATCCCCACCCGCCCACCCAGCTCCAGGAGAGGAAGGACAGTCAGGGCACTAGCCTAAGCCTGTGGGGCCTGGAATCTAATTCCCTGCTCTTCCACAGCCTTCCCAAGTGACCTTGGACGAGCGTCTGTGTGCCTCGGTTCTCCGCTAACAGCCCTGCCCTGCCAGGGCCAGGAGGATAAATGCATACACACTGTGAAGCGCTTTGGGACCTAGCCAGGAAAGGTGCTACACAAGAGCTTGGCCTTATTACATTTTAAAGCCCAAGCAGGGGATTGTTTTTAGGGGTGGAGCTTTATAGATCCCAGGAAAAACCTCCAGCGATCCCAGGGTAGGTCACCAGAAGGCCACATGCCGCACCCAGTGCTCCTAAACCAGAACCAGCTGCAGCCTGCCAGGACTATGGTTCCCAGCACACCGTGCTCCATCCTGAGCGGGAGGCTGTCTCCATGGAGCAGTGCAGGCTGGGCGGCGGCGTCTCTGTGGGCGGTAGCGCCCTCCCGACAAAGGGCAGGCCAGACAGGGTCTGTCAGCCACATGCGTTCTGAGCCTGGATTTGCTGCTGACTCCTGCCAACACCTGGGAGTTTTGAGCAACATGAAGCTACCTCCGGTTCACAGAGAAATAAAGCACCACTATCTCTGGTTTGCAGATGGGGAAACTGAGGCACGGAGAGACATGACTTGCCCACGGACACCCAACAGGCCAGCGGCAGAGCCAGGAATAAAACCCAGGCCTCCCGAGTCATGGTGCAGTGATCTACCCAGTCTCCAATTCAACACGGCCATCCAAAGAGGAAAGACTTCCTGAGAGGGGGCTCCCCAGCAGGAGTTTCCCGTCAGCCCACACATCTCCTAAGACTTTCTGCCTGCTCTCGGATCCCCCTGAATCCCCCCATCGCACCCCTCCCTCCAGGGCCATTCGGTTTGGTGCGGAACATGCAGCCTGCTGATCTCCTGCCAGGAAGCTGCCTGCCAAACCCTGACTGCACCCCCAATATGGTTAAACATTGGGTGCTTTTGCCTCCTTCCTCTTCACCCCCCACCCCCAACAGTATGTTCTGGCTGGGCCCCTGGGGCATCTCCTTTGGGATTGGGGGGGCTGGTCCCTGGGGATTCGACGGCAGGGCGTGCCATACTTCCCAGCTGCTCGCACGCACAGGCGGAGCCCGGGGGCCGCGGCGCTTACCAACTGTATCGCTATCATCAGGACGGTTTTGAGCGTGAAGGTCCGATCGCACAGGTCAAACAGGTCTTCCAGGCTGGGTCCCAGCAGCTCCAGCACCATGGCGTTGTACTTCCCACAGGGCCCAAAGTAATAAACCTGAGGAATTCCTTCTGCAAGAGCGAGTGTGGGGGAGTCAGCGCCAAGCTGCAGCCGAGACGGAAAAATCCCTTCCCTCCCAGCGGCAGCACCCCGGCCAGGGGGGCCTCTAAGGCCAAAAGCAGGGGGCCGGAGAACCCAGGGCGGTAACCCCGGTACCAGGGAGGTGCGGCTAGTGCTGGAATAGCAGCCAATGCCGGGGGTTATGAGGCAACGAACACCTCCTCCCCTCCCCGGGCAGAACATTAATTGGGAATCGTTAGCAAGGGGGAGTCTGCCCCTCCCTTGCACCCCCACAACTACTCTGCTGCATTATTCCCGAGCAGGGCTGGGTTCTCCACATGCTCTCACCCTGCCGGAGAGGCACAAGCTGCCCCTGTTCGGGGCGGAAGGAAGGGGCTGAGCTCAGCTGGGGGCGAGACCTGGGCCGGGATGGATGTTGGCACCCCTGGCACTCACTAGGGGGCCTCATGCCATTTTTACAAGCTGTGTTAACAGGACTTGCCCCTCTGCTCCAAGGGGTCGGGGGAAAGCTGGTTTCTGTGAAAAACAGCCGACAAGGTGGAACCAGAAAGATGGCAGCCAGGCATTGAGCAATGCACCCTGTGCGTAACGACAATGTCCCTCACTCCCAACCCACAGCCCCCTGCTATTCCAGCCCTGAGCTCCCCCCACCCCGACAGCTCTGCGATGCCCTTCACTCCCGATCCGCAGCCCCCCTGCTATTCCAGCCCTGCCCCCCCAGCTCTGCGATGCCCTTCACTCCCGACCCGCAACCCCCGCTATTCCAGCCCTGAGCTCCCCGACAGCTCTGCGATGCACTTCACTTCCAACCCGCAACCCCCTGCTATTCCAGCCCTGTCCCCCCAGCTCTGCGATGCCCCTCACTCCTGACCCGCAGCCCCCCTGCTA